CAGGAATCGAAGTTGGACCGTCGTTGCCACCCTCGCGGACGGATGGATTTCAGCCCTGACACGACTGATCTCCATAGTCGTGTGTACTATGTTCTCGTGGAAGGGACCGTGGCGATGAAGATCGATGGCGGTTTCGGGTACGACAAGGAAGGCAACCTTGTGGACGTCATCCTCAACGTGAAGAAGTTGTTGGAAGTCGTCCCCGACGACTGGCGTCTCCCTCAATGTGATGTCATCGGTGACATCGTTAGATACCTGGTGTCCGCCATAGCTGATGAACACATGGATGCGCTTAACGACAATGCCTTCTATGTGGCGCATATGCAGCCCCCTCTTCGGGACAGGAAGTACTTGCACGGCGCTGTGCAGTCGTGATGTCCTGATGACGATCTGAAGGCTGCGCGTCGGCGGTGGTGAGTGTGAAGGGGAGTGTTGCATGTTCGACGATGAAGCGCAAGGAAAGATGTGATGTGGTCGCGTCATGCACGAAGGTGGTTAGGACGTTACCACCCTGGCGTTTTCGGGAAGCACGGTTGCGTGGACGTCGATTCATAGATCTTCGTCTTCGGTGTGAATCGGTTGCACGGCGACACGGCAATGCAGAAGGGAGGACAACCCCGCAAGATCATCATAGTCCATGTTGCCACGTCAGCAGTCATGTTCCCGCTGATGGGTTTTCCGCAGATTTGTTCCCGCCGTGCGATTAGAGGGCGAAACAACCATTTGCATGTTGGGTATGGAGCAGTTGGAGGGTTGGATGTAGGTTGTCGCTTGGGCCACGGGTCATTTGTCGGTCGTCACTTGCTCCGCGGCTGGGGAAGGGGGGGGGGGTGTTGGGTGTGCAGAGGTTGGAAGATTACATGGTAGTGCAGAAGGGAGGAGATCCCCCGCACTGTGGAGACAAGATGTGCTGCCACGTCTGCATTTGAGTCACCGTCGTGTGCTTCGGTGATCTGTCGGTCGTTGTTGTTGTTTTTCGTTTTTCCTTTTTTCTTTCTTTTGTTAGGGAAGTCGAGGAGGATAGCAGTGGGTCGCCGGCGACGTGTAATGTTTCTAACATCATGAACATCGTCGTGCGTGTGTGTGTGTGTGTGTGTATGTGTGTGTGTGTGTGTGGGTGGGNAGAGAGAGAGAGAGAGAGAGAGAGAGAGAGAGAGATGGCGGGTGTCGAGGAGGTGGTGCGGGAGATCGTGGGCGGGAAAACCGCCGTCGTCCAGGAATCGAAGTTGGAGCGTCGTTGCCACCCTCGCGGACGGATGGATTTCAGCCCTGACACGGCTGATCTCCATAGTCGTGTGTACTATGTTCTCGTGGAAGGGACCGTGGCGATGAAGATCGATGGCGGTTTCGGGTACGACAAGGAAGGCAACCTGGTGGACGTCATCCTCAACGTGAAGAAGCTGTTGGAAGTCGTCCCCGACGACTGGCGTCTCCCAGAGCGTGATGTTATCGGTGACATTGTTAGATACCTGGTGTCCGCCATAGCTGATGAACACATGGATGCGCTTAACGACAATGCCTTCTACGTGGCGCACATGCAGCCCCCTCTCCGGGGCAGGAAGTACTTGCACGGCGTTGTGCAGTCGTGGTGTCCTGATGACGATCTGAAGGCTGCGCGTCGGTGGTGGTGAGTGTGAAGGGGAGTGTTGCATGTTCGGCGATGAAGCGCAAGGAAAGATGTGATGCGGTCACGTCATGCACGAAGGTGGTTAGGACGTTACCACCCTGGCGTTTTCGGGAAGCACGGTTGCGTGGACGTCGATTCACAGATCTTCGTCTTCGGTGTGAATTGGTTGCACGGCGACACGGCAACGCAGAAGGGAGGACAACCCCGCAAGATCGTCATATTCCATGCTGCCACGTCAGCAGTCATGTTGCCGCTGATGGGTTTTCCGCAGATTTGTTCCCGCCGCGCGATTAGAGGGCGAAACGACCATCTGCATGTTGGGTATGGAGCAGTTGGAGGGTTGGATGTAGGTTGTCGCTTGGGCCACGGGTCATTTATCGGTCATCGCTTGATCCGCGGCGGGGGAGGGGGGGGGGGTTGTTGGGTGTGCAGAGGTTGGAAGATGATATGGCACCGCAGAAGGGATGAGATCCCCCGCACTGTGGAGACAAGATGTGCTGCCACGTCTGCATTTGAGTCACCGTCGTGTGCTTCGGTGATCTGTCGGTCGTTGTTGTTTTTTTTCTTTTTTCTTTTTTTCTTTCTTTTGTTAGGGCAGTCGAGGAGGATAGCAGTGGGTCGCCGGCGACGTGTAATGTCCCTAACGTCATGAACATCGTCGTGCGCGTGTGTGTGTGTGTGTGTGTGTGTGTGTGTGTGTGTGTGTGTGTGTGGGTGGGGGGGTGGGTGTGTGTGGGTGTGTGGGTATGTGGGTGTGTGTGTGTGCAGGCCGCGGCGAGAAGCAATCGTCCCCTGACCGCGTAGTTGTTGTTTTGCCGGCATGGGTGTCAAAACGACCACGTGTCAAGCATGTCGTGACGATGCACCGCCGGTTGGATACGTGGTAATATTCGTGTGTGAATCAATGGCCGGAACGAGGCTGTTGCCGATGTTGGTTGGTGCTTTGAGCGCCTTTTTTTTGGGATTTTTGTGAGAACGGAGTGCGAGAAGGAAAAAAATTCCGTCGTGAGAAACAAATTTTTTTTTCGTCTGCCGGTCTATAATTGGTGCGGTTGCTTGAGTGCGGATGCGTGTGTGTGCTCTTCATCATTTTCTTGTCGTCTGTTGTCGTCATTTTTTCGAACTTTGGAAATAATATCGTTTTTTTGGCTTGTCGCGTCTCGTCAACATTTGCATTCGTTATGTATATGCATATACATCTTCGATTGTCCATATCTACTTCTGCCATTGATAAACGACTGAATGTGATGAAAGTATGAGCACGTTTTAAAGCTGCATCACCGACTATTCGTTGCTCGCATTACGAATATTTCACATCACAAACGCCATTCACATCACAAACGCCATTCACATCACAAACGTCAACCACTTTCAAAGACATTCCGGTTCGTTACAAGTTCGAAGACATTCACATCACGAATGAGAAACATTGCGAAAGACAGATAAAAAAAAAAGAGAATGAAATTCAAACGGACTAGCACACGGTTGAAAAGTGATTTCACGGAAATCTCATTGGAATGCCAATTGATATCGTTAATGACAGCATGACCTCCTGTCTGCATGTGCAACCACCGTGCTACGCAGATTGCCTGACTGATTTCGACAAACGCACATGCCCTCGCACATATGTATTGGAGAGGCTCCATGCGTGGACAGATGGATAGACAGACAGATAGGTAAACAGATAGATCGGTGGATAGATAGATGGGTGGACAGATAGTCAGATACGCAGGTGGAAGAAAGGTAGATGCATAGACAAATAGATAGATAGATAGATTGATAGATAGATAGATAGATAGATAGATAGATAGATAGATAGATAGATAGATAGATAGATAGATAGATAGATCTGTCTCTCTATGTATCTATCTATCTATCTATCTATCTATGGCGAGAGAGAGAGAGAGAGAGAGAGAGAGAGAAAGAGAGAGAGTAAACATTCTTTCGTGGTTTCCTGTTTGTGTCTATGGCGCAACTCGCGCTTGTCTCCAGGGGTTGGCAGGTGGTCGGCCATGCACCCGCACATGGTGTTTGACGTGCGCGATGAGCCTCGCCTTCGCCACCCTACCCTCGGCGGTACTGTACGTGCCGTCCCGACGGCTCCTCAGGGGCTGCTGGACAACATGCTGGACACGCGGACGTCGTCGACAACGAAAGTTTCCACAATTTGTTTGATCGTTGTCGTCGTCCCAGTCAAGGTCATCCAAGTCGACGTCGATTCGCATGTCGACCATCATATTGTGCAATATGCAGACGGCCGTGAACTCCTTCATGATCGTCTTCATGTTGCCGATTTGCCGCCTCAAGAAATTTCGCCACACACCCTTCAGAAGTGCGAACGTGCGTTCGATCCAACTCCTCGCCGACGTGTGGCAATCATCAAAATTCACCTCTTGGGGCGTGCGCTCGTCTCCTCCAACCGGTGTTATCAGCCAAGGCAGCAACGGGTACCCTGCGTCCCCGAGAACGTAGCGGCGGATAGGTGTGCCGTCATGAAGAAAGGATGTGCCACCATGGAATATCCCACGCCCATCCTGCGCATCCCTGTAAAGGTGCCATATGCGAACGGCACGTGAGTCATGCACCGATCCAGGGCACCCCACGAAAACATCCTGGATCCTGCACTCGTGATCGCACACCACTTGCGCCACAAGCGAGAACTGCCTCGTGCAGTCGTAGTAGCATTCTGCCCGCTCGTTCTTTGGCTTCTCGATGTATAGATGTGTCCCATTAATTGCACCCACGCACCCTGGGAACCCTTTCCTCTCGAACGCATCCATCACCTCCTGCAAACGGCGTCCTTCAGGGAACCTTATGAGGTGGCCGTACTCCTTGATGAGGGCGCCCGCAACGTCCTCGTTACTCCTCAACCCACTCGCCAGCCCCATCCCCATCCCGTGGCTCGTCTGTCGGTAATAGCATCCTGTGGCCTATCTGATCAACGTGCACACGAACTTCCGTGCAACTGGAATTGGCTGTGTCCAGTTCGTCAACTTCCGCTGAATGTGTGGGGCTATTCCCTGTGCAACTTCATAGAAGAGAGGTCGAGGAAGTCTGCAGAACCGGACGAAGACCTTGTCATGAGCCTCACCGACCTTCTGGAGATCTTTCCGCCTCCCCCCATGGCGGTCCAGAACCCACATACTCCTGGATCGTCTCCTCCATCGGTTGTTCACGCTTTCCATGGCGGCGGACACAAGGGAAACGCTGTGCAGGAAGCCCCCAGCGAGGAGCAGAAGAACCTCCCCCATTTCAGGGTGTGGAGCTAAACAGGATGAAGCCGCTGCATTGAGAACAGCAAGAGCCGCCTTGTTCCGCGGCATCACCAACTGTATAACAATAAAAACAACCATGAACAAATGGTCGTCATTGTCAACGTCATTGTTGCCTACCACACCTCGCCTTGCCCRGTCCCCAACGTCTTCCACACCGCTCTCCATGGGCATCACAACGGTGCACAATGTCTCCCAATACCACCACAAACCTCCCCCCCCCCACCCCACCCCGCAACACAGGGCTATGTCGCAGACAACAGAGACACGCAACCGCGGTGATACCCGGATCCATAGACGCGACCTTCAACAACGATCGGCTATGGCAGACATATTGATTGTGACGAACACGGGTGCGTTGCCCGAAACAGCCACGAACTCCGAGAGAGCATGCTTGCTGCGCCCCACATCGCCTTCGCCCTTTCCCAGGTGGGACCGTGGAATCCCGTGGTTCCACCGTCGATACAAACAAGAAGGTCGATAACGGTCGAAATGTCCCCTGGAACAAACGGCCCRCAACGGCCGTGTCAAACGGTCGCAAAAGGGCTGCATCAGTTCCCCAACCGTAGTCGACCCCTTATGTCGGGTGCTGCCCCGCCCATGATGCCACAAGCCACACAAC